TCATTGATGATTCTATCTCTCCCTCTCCCTGAAATCAATAAAACCATTTTTTTAAAAAAGTTCATAAAACTGATTCATGGGGTACTCAAGTTCCAAACATACGTTCGCAGTAACTGAATTGAGGATTGGTTTTTCAATTTACATTTATTAAGAGTAAATAAGATTAGGAATTCAATCCCTCAGTCACACTGGCCGTATTTCCAGCACGTGTGGCCAGTGGCTCCCGCGTTGGACAGCACAGGCCAGCATGCTCTGAGCCTATGAACCAGGAGGTCACGGTTCAAATCCCGGTCAGGGCACATGCCCGGGTTGCAGGCTCCATCCCCCAATAGGGGGTGTGCAGGAGGCAGCCGATCAATGGTTCTCTCTGATCATTGATGATTCTATCTCTCCCTCTCCCTGAAATCAATAAAACCATTTTTTTAAAAAAGTTCATAAAACTGATTCATGGGGTACTCAAGTTCCAAACATACGTTCGCAGTAACTGAATTGAGGATTGGTTTTTCAATTTACATTTATTAAGAGTAAATAAGATTAGGAATTCAATCCCTCAGTCACACTGGCCGTATTTCCAGCACGTGTGGCCAGTGGCTCCCGCGTTGGACAGCACAGGCCAGCATGCTCTGAGCCGGATGGTGGCCCAGAGTCAGGGAGCATCATTTCCCAGAATCCTCTCTGAGGACCCAGCGCTGCTTGGACTTGTGTGGGAGACCCATCAGGGCAGGATTGTATGGATGGAACATTGTTACCTTGTGAACAGTAGTTGTCGAGCCGGCTGTGGACACTTGCAGTGAAAGGGACGGTGACCTCAGTAAAAGTGCTTTGGTTCCCTCCAGCGTAGAGTCAGGGCTGTTAGGATGCTTTTGGTGGCAGCGATAGACCCGCCCCTAGGCCTTTTTGGCTTAAACCCTCACCGACTTTATCTCCCGTAGCCAGAGCCTCAAGTAGGGCATATCCTCAGCACAGTCAGCAATTTCCTGCTCTGGTCTGTGGCAAGAGGGTGGTCTTTCCCCACCCACATGTCCCTTACAGCCATCGCTACAGGCAGAAGGGGACCTGCACCCTCCCATTGCTCCCCAGTCCCCTCAGAGCACCCAGGAGGGGCCGGCTGGTCTGGCCGCGCCCTCTGTGCCAGCCTACAGGCCGTGGCACAGGCCGGTCCTCCTGCCCTATTTCTACCTGGTCCATTCCTCACCGGAGGATATTTTTCCCATTGATTTTTATTTTATTTTTTATTTTTTAAATATATTTTATTGATTTTTTTACAGAGAGGAAGGGAGAGGGATAGAGAGTTAGAAATATCGATGAGAGAGAAACATCGATCAGCTGCCTTCTGCACACCCCCTACTGGGGATGTGCCCGCAACCAATGTACATGCCCTTGACAGGAATCGAACCCGGGACCCTTGAGTCTGCAGGCCGACGCTCTATCCACTGAGCCAAACCGGTCAGGGCTCCCATTGATTTTTAGAGAGAGTGAAAGGGAGGGAGAAGGAGAGAGAGAGAAACATTGATGTGAGACACACATCAATTGGTTGCATCCCACAAGTGCCCTGACTCGTGGGGGGAGCAAATCTGCAGCCCAGGTACGTGCCTTTGACGGGGATTCAAATTCGAGACCCTAGTGCATGAGCTGACACTACCACTGAGCTGCACTGGCCAGGGCTTGCCTCATCTTTTTTTTAAAAAATATATTTTATTGATTTTTTACAGAGAGGAAGGGAGATAGATAGATAGTCAGAAACATCGATGGGAGAGAAACATCGATCAGCTGCCTCCTGCACATCTCCCACTGGGGATGCGCCCGCAACCCAGGTACATGCCCTTGACCGGAATCGAACCTGGGACCTTTCAGTCCGCAGGCCGACGCTCTATCCACTGAGCCAAACCAGTTTCACCTCATCTTTTGATCCTCAAATCCCAGGAGCTGCTGCCAGCCGCCCAGCCCCGTTGTGCTGGCCTGTGTCACAGTCCTCAGAATTGCCGGTCAGCCTCCTTTGCATCCGGGGTCTCTAAGCACAGGGCTGCTGTCGCTTATCCCTGAGCCTCACCCAGGAAATGTTTGAAGATAAAGGAAACCCTTTTCTTTTTATTTATTTTTTAAATGTATTTTATTGATTTTGTTACAGAGAGGAAGGGAGAGGGATAGAGAGTTAGAAACATTGATGAGAGAGAAACATCGATCAGCTGCCTCTTGCACACCCCCTACTGGGGATGTGCTCGCAACCAAGGTACATGCCCTTGACCGGAATCGAACCTGGGACCCTTCAGTCTGCAGGCCGACGCTCTATCCACTGAGCCAAACCAACTACAGCTGTGAATTCTTTTTAGTAAAGTATATATTATGCAGAAAACAGTATCAAATAGCTGTGGATACTTTAAAGACTAAAGAAAACACACACACACACACACATATGCATATTCTTTACATGGTCTTTAAGGTATCCATATCTGTTTGATATTGCCTTCTGTATGATTGAATACATTCCTACAAAAATATTTTCATATGTAATTTTAATATGTAAATATTTTGTATACACATGTACATGTATGGAAATAGATCTACTGAAAAAGCCCACAGATCGTAAGTGACCAGCTTGGCGAATTTTCCCTGATTGAACACAGCCACGTAACCGCCCCCCAGGTGCGGAACCCGCATCCCAGCCTGGCTCCCCGCACCCTCCCAGCCCTCTCTGCTCCCAGGGATAGCTACCGCTGGGCCATCCAACACCATACGTTCGTTTTGCGTGCTTCTCGGAGCTTTTAATAGAGGTGTAAGTGAAGGCCGGAGAGGTCGCTAGCCTCGAAAATTTAATTGCCGTTCAAATATCCGTCTATCTGTGGTCAAGTTTACTCAGCTACTTGGTGATATGTGATCCATTTATGAGAGATTGTTTCTCCTGGTCCCTACAGAATAGTTTTAAAGCAGCAGGGGAAGCAGTTGCGGTCATTCTCAGGGTAGGAGTAGCACAGCATGCGAAGTAATTTTGAGGGGCTGGCGTGGGCCCTTGGTGGTCACTGCCCCACCCTGCCCCCGGAGGGAGGCACTGTCCTAGCCTTGGTCCACCCCTGAGCAGGTACTCCGGGCGGAGTTCTGGGCGCCCTGGCTGGTGAACTGCTCCTGAACCCTCCTCATCTTTCACAGCCTTCCTCAAATGTCCTCACCTCCGCAGCCTCCGCCAGGGCCAGGCGCTGCCCGCAGCCTCCATCCCCGCACATCTCACCCGGGAGTGGGGAGGAAGCCCCCTGCCTGCGCCCACCAGGCCAGGAGTCCCTGAAATGGATCAGAAGTACCAGGTCCAACTGGGTCCTGGGTGCCCAGTGTAGCCCCACGCAGGCCGGGCCCCCAGGGCCTCAGGAAACGTGTAATTAATAAATGAAGGATCAGGTGGCCTCTGGGGCCACAAAGGCCAATTCAGACTCAGCATTGAAGGGCTGGCCCTGTACCTCCCGAGTCCCAGAGACCTCCCACCCTCACCCGCGGGCTCCGCTCCTTCCTCAGGCGGGGAGGGGTCACCCCGCACCTCATAGGGCCCTTATTCACGTCTTCATGCCTTTTCTTTCTAAAATATATTTTATTGATTTTTTTACAGAGAGGAAGGGAGAAGGATAGAGAGTTAGAAACATCAATGAGAGAGAAACATCGATCAGCTGCCTCCTGCACACTCCCCACTGGGGATGTGCCCGCAACCGAGGTACCTGCCCTTGACTGGAATCGAACCTGGGACCCTTCAGTCCGCAGGCTGATGCTCTATCCACTGAGCCAAACCGGTTAGGGCTTCATGCCTTTTCTGAGCTCAGCACTCAGGGAGCCCTTGGAACATGGAGTTGCTACCCAAAGTGGCAGATGCTGACCCTGTTTTCAACCAGCTTCTGGTTGGATCTGGGGGACAGGTGGACCCAGACACCCATGACATGTACCCCAGGGAGGTGACCGGGCTGTGTGGGAGCCCAGGGGGGTCCTGGGACAGTGCTGAGCCACACCTGTGGTGGTTACAGCTTCTCCCAGTGGCCACTTAAAAAAAAAAAAGGTAGAAAAAGCCTGGCCGGTGTGGCTCAGTGGTTGAGCATCGACCAATGAACCAGGAGGTCAGAGTTCAATTCCTGGTCAGGGCACCTGCCCGGGTTGCTGGCTTGATCCCCAGTGGGGCATACGGGAGGCAGCTGATCAGTGAGTCTCTCTCATAATTGATTGATGTTTCTGTCTCTCCCTCTCCTTTCCTCTCTGAAATCAATACAAATATAAAAAAGGGAAAATTCATTTTAGCAATATATTCATGATACCCAATATACCCTAAATATTGTCATTTCAACACGGAATCAATCTTTTAAAATGTTGATGAGATAGTTTACTGCCCCCTCCCCCACTGTCTTTTAAATCTGGTGTGGCCCTCCGCTTACAGCCGCCTCAGTTTGGAACAGCTACGCCTCCGGTGCGCGCGAGTCACCCGGCTAATGGCTGCAGGGAGTAGCTCAGCACCCAGGGGTCTGGCCTTGGCCTGCTGGCTGGGTCGCAGTGGGACCTTCATTGAATTGGGAAGCTGGAGGAGGACCAGGTTTTCAGGAGACGCTGAGTGGGGATGTCTAGGAGTGAGGATCCTGGGGGGCAGCTAGAAGCCAGCCGGGCCATTCATTCATTCATTCCTTTATCATGTGCTTTTTGCCAGGCCAGTGCTGGGGCTGTGCAGGGGTAAGCAGAGCCGTGGGTGGGGACAGCTCTCAGGAAGAGGATAGTCAGGGGCCGCGGTGAGAGGAGGGAGTCAGGGGTGGCCCTGAAGTGTGCGCCGGGCGCCTGCTCTGGGTTGGAGCCACCAATGAGCCTTAGTGATCGCTTCCCTGAAGCTCCAGCTGGAGATGGGGCCCAGGCCTGTCCTCCGCCTCAGCGCCCGGGGCCCCAGCATGGAGAGTTTGCCCTCCAGCTTCGAGGGCCCTTGCCAAGGAAAGTGGGGCAGGTGGCTCCGCTCCAGGACCCTCACCCCCAGCCCTGCCTTCCCTCCCCAGGTAAGAGCAAGGAGGCGGAGATTAAGAGAATCAACAAGGAACTGGCCAATATCCGCTCCAAGTTCAAAGGTAGGTGGGGGTCTGGACTCCTGGGTCTGAGAGCGGAGGGGGCTGGGACTCTTGGGACTTGCAGGTGTGTTCCTTCCTCATTCTTGCCTCCCCTTTCCTCCTTCCTCTGGCCCCAGGGGACAAAGCTTTGGATGGCTACAGTAAGAAAAAATACGTCTGTAAACTGCTCTTCATCTTCCTGCTTGGCCATGACATTGACTTCGGGCATATGGAAGCCGTGAACTTGCTTAGCTCCAACAAGTACACAGAGAAGCAGATAGTGAGTCTGGGGAGGACGGGCTGGGGCCTGGACCCCTCGGTCTGAGGGAGGAGGGGCTGGGGGCCTGGACTCTTGTGTCTGAGGGAGGAGGGCTGTGGGCCCGGACTCCTGGGTCAGAAGGAGAAAGGATGGGAGCCTGTACTTCTGGGTCTAAGGGAGGAGGGACTGAGGGCTTTGGTCTGAGGGAGGCGGGGGCTGAGGGCCTAGACTCCTGGGTCTGAGGGAGGAGGGGCTGTGGACCTGGACTCCTGGGTCTGAGGGAGGAGGGGCCTGGAAGTATATAGACTCTAGGGTATGAGAGTTGGGGCCTAGGACCAATTAACCACAAGGCTCCCCTGCTCCCCCTCCCTCCCCACCCAGGGTTACCTGTTCATCTCGGTGCTGGTGAACTCGAACTCTGAGCTGATCCGGCTCATCAACAATGCCATCAAGAATGACCTGGCCAGCCGCAACCCCACCTTCATGTGTCTGGCCCTGCACTGCATCGCCAATGTGGGCAGCCGCGAGATGGGCGAGGCCTTCGCCGCTGACATCCCTCGCATCCTGGTGGCCGGGTGAGTCCCTGGAGACCTGTGGAGGGGGGTGCAGTGGGGGAGACAAGGCCCAGCCAGGATGTGGAGCCCACGCTGAGCTTGGAACCCCAGGGGTCCTGGTGGCAGCCCTGTGATGTGTCTCCTCATCTCACTGAGCCAGCTGACGGCAGTGTGAGGCAGCCTCCCAGCACAGCCAGTGCGATGTCTGTCTGATGAACTGACCTTTGACATCTAGTGTAGAAGAGGTGATAACCTTCAGTTATGTTGGTGACAGCCCTCCAGAAATTGTACATCCCCATTCATTCATTCAACAAGTGTCTATTGGGCATCTACTGTGTGCAAGGCATCATGCTGATTGCTGGGGATGTAGACATGACCAGGAGTGGACATGGTCAGTGTCCTCCCAGCATTCACAGTCCAGAGTGGAGAGATAAACATCGATTGAGTAATTGCAGGATGAAGCATTTAATTCCTCTCAAAACCATGCTGTGCGGGATAGGAACCCCTAAGAGCATTGAGTAGGGGTCAGCCTGACCTAGCCTGAGGGAATCAGGGAGAGCTTCCCAGAGGAAGTGGCATGAGGCTGAGGCCTAAGTGAGGAGGAATCGTTGGCCGTGGAAAGGGGAAAGGCATGAAGGGCGGTGAGTGTCCTGAGGCAGGAGGTCACTCAGCAAGTATTTCTGTTGCACTGTGCCGGGCACTGTTATGGGCACGGGGGAGGCAGAGGCGAGCAGCAAGGACGGTGGTGCCCACCCTTGCGGAGCTTACGTGTAGTGGGAGAGCCAGAGAACAAACACGTACACAAAACATAAGGTGAGTTCAGACCGTGACTGATACTCAGAAGAAAACACAATAGGGTAGTGGGGGGTCCTGGAGGTCGTGGGGGAGGCCACTTACATTAGATTCTCAGGGAGGGTCTCTCTAAGGAGTTGATGTAATTTGACACTGAATGATAAGAACATAATCATTCAAAAGTGTTGGAGGAAGAGTCCCAAGCAAAAGGAGCAACAAGTGCAAAGGCCCTGAGGTTGGCGTGAGCTTTCTATGTTCATGGAATCAAGAGATAGTGTTTTTGGAAGGAGTGTGGTGAACAGGAGAGAGGGAGAAGTTCGGATTGTATTGTAATTGATGGGGGGAGGCAGGTGGATGACATGAGCCACTTTGTAATTTTAACAGCCGAGCTTTGCCTGGTTTGGCTCAGCGGATAGAGTGTCAGCCCGCAGACTGAAAGGTCCTGGGTTCGATTCCGGTCAAGGGCACGTCCCTGGGTTGCAGGGTTCCCCAGCTCTGCAGTTTGGACTCCTGTGGGAGGCAGCCAATCGATGTCTCTCTCTCTCCCCACCTCCCTTCCACTCGAAAAATCAATGGAAAAAAATATCCTCAGGTGAGGATTAAAATAATAATAAAATAAAATAAATCAACCAAAGATCATTCAGCCTAGTGTGGGGAAAGGTAAGACTTTTATTTCTGGCAACATATGGACTAGATTCCTGATGCTCTTTTTGAAACCCAGCTGTCAGTATTGAATAGGAGAGGAGAGGAAATATTCGTCAATTTTCAGGAGCCAAAAGTAAGGACGGGCCACGGCACCGGGAGATGCGCCGAGTGCTGTAGCCAGATCTTGCTTAGAGGGCATTCGCTGAACTGCGTGAACCCAGTATTGGTTTGGGGGGCCCTGCAGCCTCTGGGGACAGAAGACAATGCTTTTCCAAGGAGAGGCTCCAGAGACCACACTTCAGAATGAGCGTGATTTGGAAATAAACCCTTAGGAGATATAAGCAAAGTTACCTGTTTTGAACCTTGGCACAGAGCAGCGTGCACACTGGTTTTCAGCCTGATTTCCGCCTACTGGGTCATCCACAAATCCTTCCGCCAAGCTTTAGAGTCACGTGCTGCAAACTGGTAGACCCCAGTGTCTGACAGAAGCAAAGACGCCTTTTTCTGGAGAAACCCACCTTCTCCACAGGCCTCACAGGTTCCCACCGGTGAGGCAGCCCGGAGTTCCGTGAGTAGCTCACAGTCAAAAATCACTAAACACAGGAAGCAAGCACCTCGAGGGAGAACCAGCAGAAAGAAAACGGAAAAGAACAGTCAAATTAGAATCGTCCTATGGGATGTAAAATAAGTGTAATAGGCTCCAAGGAAGGAGGCAGCCGATCAGTGATTCTCTCTCATCAAAATGATTCAAACACGAGCAAAGTGCAAGCAGATCGGGAAAATATCACCGATATTTTTAAAAAATTGAGTGGTCTGGTTTAGCAGCAGAATAGACAGTGATCAAAGCAGGTTAAACAGCCAGTAGAACTGAAGAAATGAATGGGAATGCAGCCCAGAGAAACAAAGAGATGGGGGGAAATGTTCCTAAGATTTTGTTTTATTGATTTCTAGAGAGAAAAGGGAGAGGAGAAACCGATGTGAGAGTGAAACATCGATTGGCTGCCTCCCGCACGCCCCCTACTGGGGATCGAACAGGCAACCTTTTGGTGCACAGGAGGACGCCCAACCAACTGAGCCACACTCCCCAGGCTGTCTTACAGTATTTCTGTGCGAAGTCTTTGAAACGTGGCATGTAACATACACACATTACATCTCAGTTGGGACTCGCCACAGTCCCTGTGCCCAAAAGCCCTGTGTGGCTGTGGACCAACATCTTGGTAATGAAAGCTCCTGCCTGTTAGGTCCCGCGGGGAGGACATGGGCAGGACAGAGAAGGACCGGAGGCAGAGCCCGGGCAGCCCAGCGTGTTGGGATCTGAGCGGAGGGGAGGGGGGTGCACGGTGGACCCTGGCTCAGACACAGAGAAGAGACTTCCACGGAGGAGGGCGTGGGTAGTGGTGGTGAGAGCTGCGAGACGGTCGCTGGCCACCCTGAGCGCAAGAACTTGGCACCGGCGAGGTTGGAGAAAGGGCCAGTGTGACAAACATGTATGCGCACACGAGGGAATGACTGCCGAGGGGCCCAGTCCTGCCAGAGTGTGGGCCAGGCTGGGTGGTCTGAGTGTAGGCTGGGCTGTCCATACCGAAAACTCAGCCTTGACAATGACTGGGGCACGTGGGAACTTTTCTTTAGGTAGATTTTTTTTTAATTGAGGTAAAATTCATATAACATGAAGTTCACCTCTTTTTAAATGAACTTTTTAATTTATTGATTGATTTTTAGAGAGAAGAAGGGTGGGGGGGAGAGAGAAACTTCGATTTGTTGTTCTCATGTATGTATTCATTGATTGATTCTTTTTCTTGAAAATCTATTTTTATTGATTTCAGAGAGGAAGGGAGAGGAAGAGAGAGATAGAAACATCAGTGATGAGAGAGAATCATTGATTAGCTGCCTCCTGCACATCGCCTCCTGGGGATCGAACCCACAACCTGGGCATATGCCCTTGACTGGAATCGAACCCGGGACCCTTCAGTGCACAGGCTGATGCTCTATCCACTGAGCCAAACCAGCCAGTGCTCATTGATTGATTCTTGTATGTGCCCTGACCGCAATCAAAGCCGCAACCTTGGTATATGGGACAGTGCTCTAACCAACTGAGCTACCTGGCCAGGGCTAAGTTCACCATTTTAACTATTTTAAAGGGCACAATTCAACAGTCTTTAGTATCTTCACAACGTTGTGTAACCACCACCACTAACTTAATTCCAGAACATTTCCATCATCCCAGGAAGAAGCCGACAGCCATCAGCAGCCCACTCCACACGCCCTCCCTCTCCAGCCCCAGGCAACCACTGACCTGCTTTCTGTCTCTAGATTCGCCTGTTCTGGGCATTTCCTACAAATGGAATCCTGTGGCCTTTGTGTCTGACTCCTTTCACTCAGCATCATGTCCTCCAGGTTCACCCGTGTTGTAGCATGGATCAGTGCTTCATACTTTCTTATGGCTGAGTAATAGTATTCCATTGTTGGATGGGCCACATCTTGTTTATTTATTTATAAAAAAGGCCCCACCTCCTGCCGATCGTGTACAACGTTCACATTTGTGTGACTTGGTGTAGATGCCTGGGTGCGGAATTGCTGAGTCACATGGTAGCGCGCCTTTTTAAAAAAGAAGAAATAGTTACCCTGCACCGTGTGGCTCAGTTGGTTGAGCGTGGGCCCATGCCCTGAAAGGTTGCCGGTTCAATTCCTGGTCAGGGCACATGCCCAGGTTGCGGGTTCGATCCCCAGTTGGGATGCATGTGGGAGGCAACCGATCGGTGTTTCTCTCTCTCTCCCATCCTCTGTCTCTAAAAATCACTAAAAATATATTAAAAAAAACATTTATTAAAATGATGAAACAGCTGCAGTTGAATCCCCGCTCACGTCCCTCAGATCATCTCTTCCCCTCCTCCCTCCCCGTCCTGTAAATCAGGTGGTTTTGTCCTTTAATACCTGGGCGCAGTCCCCCAGATTATGTAGTTTCAAACTTCCCCTTAATATTATCACAGTCTCGGTTTCACTTCACCAAGCTGCTAAGTAGCTCTCACTCCTTGGTTTGGTATTTGGACGTTTCCCGGCTTGTAACTGGAGATGATGATAGAATTCACCCCCTCGGAGGGCTGTGGCGAGGGTTAAACACGCTGATAAGTAGAAGCCTTGGTGCAGAGCGTGGCCCGAGGAAGGGCTGTGAGCTGTGATGATGCAGGTGAGAGAGCGCCGCTAGTCCTGCCTGGGCCTGCGACACCTCCCGCTGCTTCGGGTTGTATCTGATGGCAGGCCGCAGTGCACATTCTCGTGCTGCCACCTGGAACACGGGGGTGGGGCGTTCTGGGCGGAGATTCTGTCTTTCCTCATTCAGTTACTCAGTTTTCTGCTCACCTGGCACTTTCCCCCCAAAACAGTGGCTGGGCGCAGTGTACTTGGATGCCAACGGCTGGGCTAGGATGGAACCTCTGTGAGGACAGGCGTTTGGACCAATTTGCTCACTAGTCTGTCCACAGTGCCTACAGCATGGTGGTACCCAGTAGGCGCTTAATAAGTGCAGAGCCAGGCTTGACATTGTGCCAGTGGCCCCACAAGGCTCCTGAGACGTGGGCCATGAGAGCAGCGCCAGGTTGGATCCCGGGTCCGCCTGGGAGGAGCGAGAGAGGCGGGAGGTGTGCGGGGCTGGAGTCCTGGGTCACGCTGACCCACCCACCCCACATCGTGTCCCCACAGGGACAGCATGGACAGCGTGAAGCAGAGTGCGGCCCTGTGTCTGCTGCGGCTCTACAAGGCCTCGCCCGACCTGGTGCCCATGGGCGAGTGGACGGCCCGCGTCGTGCACCTGCTCAATGACCAGCACATGGTGAGACCCGTGCCTCTGTCCCCCCCATCCCTGCCCTTGATGTCCACCTGGAGGCAGGGAGTCCCACGCCCGCCCTGGATGCCTGGGCCCCCACCCGTGACCCTGCCTTTACCAAGGCACCTAGAGACGCTGGTCTGGTCCCCCCAGTACTTATTACTCACCCAGGTGTCCCGAGGCACTCCCATCCCCGTCCCGGACACCCACTGGCTGCCCAGGGGTCCTGTCCAGTGTCCCCAACACCAACACCCACCCAGCCCCTCAGAAGAAGCCCGGCCTGTGTATCTGACACCCAGAGGTTCCCCAGTGCCCACTGCCTGCCCCAGTGCCCACTGCCTGCCCAACCAGCACAGAGATGCTGACCTCGGTCCCAATCCCATACCTCCAGTTCCTCTTAGTCCCCACTCACCCTCTGCTCCGAACCCCAGTGAGTGCTGGTCACGTCCCTGAGCCCCAAAGCACCCACTGTGACACCTATGCACCCCTAAGCACACACCCCTCCCCCCCCCACAGTCCACCCCTGTGCGTTCCTGAATCTCTGCTCTCAGATCCGCAGCCTGCACACTTGTCCCCAGTCTGACCTCCCACCAGGCCCTGACCTGCCACTCATCTGCCCCTGCAGGGCGTGGTCACAGCTGCTGTCAGCCTCATCACCTGTCTCTGCAAAAAGAACCCGGATGACTTCAAGACGTGCATCTCCCTGGCTGTGTCTCGCCTGAGCAGGGTGGGTGTGGCCTCGCTGCTGGCTGCGGGTGGGAGCCCTCCGCTCCCTGTCTTCCCTGTCCCCGGGGCACCTCTCTGGTCCCTGGCGCTCCTTGCTTTCCCTGGGAGGCAGCCCAGCTGGTGGTTAGGAACTCAGGCTCTGAGCTCAGTTCCTCCTGGCTCGGCTACAAGTGGCTTCCCCTTTCTGGGCCTCAGTTGTCCCTTCTGTTCAATGGGGATGATCCTAGTGCCCACCTGACAACATAGTTGCTGTGAATTAATCCATATAAACCAGCGGTTCTCAACCTGTGGGTCAAGACCCCTTTGGCGGTCGAATGACCCTTTCACAGGGCTCGCCTAAGACCATCCTGCATATCAGATATTTACAT